GTAACGTAGGTTCGGTCGTACGACGACGACCGACGGACGGTACGGTACGGTACGGTACGGTACGTACGTACGTAGTAGTTCGTCGTCGGCGGGGGGGGGCAGGGGGGGAGGCCGGGGCCCCTTGTGTGTTTTGGGGGCCAGTGCTCAGGACCCAGCTACCCATCGCCTGTGTTTCAACGTTCTCCACCTGGGGGAACAGCGCCTCCTGCTCTTGCCTGGTAGAAGACTCATGAGACAAAGTGTTACTAAAGCCCTGGGTATGTGCTGGGGCTTGAAAAATGGCTGGAGTTCACGACATGGGCAGGACTTAGGATGGCAGATGCAGAGGGAAGCTTGGATCCACTGTGCACCTACTAATCTGAGCCAAGGCTGGCCACTTTGTTAGCAAGTCCCCCTAACAACCCAGCTAGGCAGGATGATGTTTCCCATTTCATCCAGAGGCAAATGGAGGCTCAGAGACATGAAGTCACTTGCCTGGGTTCACACAGCAGAGTTGGGATTTGCTCTCAGGTCGCTGGCTCACTTACCAAACATCTACCAAGGGCTGATTTGTGCCTAGGTGACAAGACGGGCCCCGAGCTGCCAGTATAGTCCTGCCCTCTCCAACTGAACTTTCTGTGAAGGTGGGAATGTTCTAGATCTGGGCGGTCTAACAAGGGAGCTGCTGGCCATATATGGTGACTGAGCTCTCGAAAGGTGGCAAGGATAGCTGAGGAAAGACATTTGTAACTTGATTTCGCAGTATTTAAGATAAATTTAAATAGCCATAAGTGGCTAGTGGTTGCCAGCAGAGGTCTAGAGAGAGACAGGCCAGTAAGCAGGTAAACAGGTGACATCATGACAAATAGGATACATGGGACAAAGAAATCACACAAGTTGATGTGATGGAGCATCCCTGGGCCCTCCTTAGGTGGGAGTGTGTGTGTGTGTGTGTAAGGGAAGGCCTTTCTGAGCTGACACCCAAGGAGGGGAAGGGACCCGACCCTCCGAAGCTGGGGCGTGGGTGAGCAGGAGTGATATTCTAGATGGACGGGACAGCAGGGACAGAGGTCTTGAGGCAGGAAAGAGGCTGATATGTGAGAGGGTCAGTGAGAAGACCAGGGTGGCTGGGGCAAGGGGGTCGGTGGCAGGAGAGAGAAGTGGGACTTTGTCCTGTGGGCCACAGGAAGCCTGGGAGGTTTTAGAGGAAGGGGCTGATAATATCTTGGGGAAAACTCACTCTGACAACCATCTGTTAAGAAGTCCCTGTGTACACACCCTTCCCATGACAGAGTACTCACTACCCCTCAGGGCATTGATGCAGCAATTTTTTACGTAGTCCTTATCTAGAAGCCCTTAGAGTGGAGGGAGGACCAGGCAGTGGAGGGACAGGGTCCTGCCTTCCTGGACCTCCCAGTCCAGTGAGGGCAGGGGTTGGGGGACAAAAATCCCTCAGTGGCCATGCTGGGCAACCACTCGGGGCCCTGGTCTGTGATTCTGATTCTACCTTTGCTCACCCACAAGCAGAGGCCTGAGGAGGAAACCACTACGATGTACCCGGTGCCTGACACAGGACCCTCGTGCATCCTCTCAGCTCCCCTCTATATGAGGATGCTATGACTTCCTGGACTCACTTTCCAGATGAAGATACTGAGGTTCAGAGTGGAGAGGGGCAGGCCTCTGGCTCTTTCCCCTCACCTTCATCACACTGCCTTCATATCCCTGACTCTGACTCCAGGAAGAACCCGAGGCTCAGGGAGAGACATCTTTTGGACTGATAGCACAGCCAGGAAGAGGAAGATTTAGGATTCAAACCCAGGTTTCACCCCATGCTATACTCCTCCCACTTGCAAATGTTACCTCCATGAGGCACAAGATATCTGGGGCTTCAGGGCCCAGGTTTCACCAAGAAGTCCCTATACCTGTATGGCTGTGCTTCCGAGATGAACTTGCGCTGCTCCAGGGGTCCCGCACTGGCTCGGAGCTCCTTCACCACCACCTGGGCTGGGGTGTAGTCGGAGAAAATTTCTCCCAGGATCACCTGATCAAGGGGGACCCAGAAATCACTGCCTGCGTTCTCCCCAGCCCCGTCCCAGGGACCACCTCCATCCCACCGTCAGGCTCCCAACTTCCCCCTCCTTCCCAGACTCTCCTTGCATATCCCACCACCCTCGTTCCCCACCAGATGCAGGGTGAGAGACTCACAGGCCCAGAGTCCGATGGACGCAGGGACGGGTGGAAGGATGGACAGACGGACGCGTGGAGAGCCGGATGGCGAGGCGGAGTGGTCAATGGAGTGAGAAGGGAGGTGCTCACCGACAGATGTGGGGGGATGGGGTGGGTGGGCGCCGGTGAGAGGTGGACAGAGGGGAGGGCGATGGGTGGGCTGAGGGGGCAGGGGAAGGAGGCAGGGGACAGATGAGAAGTGGTGGGGATGGGGGATGGACACAGAAGCATTGCCCCGGATTGTATGGACACCCCACCTCCCACCCTAAACCCCACTCACCTTCCCAAACCAGCCACTCCCAATCTCTTGTAGGTAGCTGAGGTGCTGGCGGCTAAGGCCCAGGGGGGTGGTCATGTCTAGGGGTGGGGGAGCAGAAGGGGGAGGCCCCTGAGCCTCTCTCCCCTCCCAAGTGCCTCCAGCACCCCTCAACTCAGTGGAGACAGGAGTCAAAGCAGACACCAATCTCTTTTCATTGGCTGCCCCCAACATTCCACGATAGGATCTCAGTCTCCTCACTGGCTGCCCACAAAGTTCTACTGTCCAATCTGGTCCTTCCCTTTGGCGTCCCAAGATCCTATGACATGACTTCAGCCTGCCACTGGCTGCCTCTAAGACCAAGATCGAGGCTGACCTCGCCATTGATTGCCCCACAAGAATTCCTAAATCTGGTTTTGGATTAAGCAATGGGTCCCACCAAGATGATCTCTGACTTCCTATAGGATGCCAAGGGCTCCTAGCTCTGCCTTTCCCCTTGGCTGCCCGGGGCCTCTGCTCCCTGTTCCCTGAGGGAAGACTCTCAGGGCCCTCCGCCCCATCCTGTGGGACCATGGGCTCCCGGTCAGGGTGTGGGGCAGTACCTGAGTGTGATGGCTGCGGGGCGGGCATCGGCAGGGAGACCTCCGCCAGCGGGAGAATGTAGACGTCGGGCAGCGACTGTGAGGAGGAGGTCTCCTCGGCCGGGGGAGTATACTCCCCGGAGCAATCCTCCCCTTCGGGGTTCTCAAACTCCTGGGGCCGGGAGGGGGGGAGGGGAGGGAGACCACAGGGCTGAGACACGCCATTGTCCTTCCCATCAGTGTGTATCCCCATCTTTCTCACACTGTCCCCCAGTCCCAGCCCAGTTTCTATCCCAGGGTTCTGGATGTTGCTGTAGCTTCAGGCCTGAAGGGCTCTCAGACTCGCTGCCCTGCTACCCCTCCTACCACCTGGGCTGAGGGAAAGGCCTCACTGGTGTCTCCCTCCCCACCTTGATCCCCCTCATACACCTCACCTTGAAGCCGACATCGCCCCGTTTGCAGCACAGACAGGTGAGGAGGAGGAAGATGAAGGCCAGCAGGCCTGAACAGGAAATGAGGACCACCGCGTAGGGAGGAGCCAGAGGGGCCCGGCCCAGGGCAAATCCATCTGTGGGCACAGGGCTGGGCTGCGGTCCCGGCTTCAAGCCTCTGGTCGCCCGACTCCATGCCCCTCCCGGCCCAGCTAGGCTTAACTACAACCCCCATGATGCTCTGCAACCAGGGGCCCCCTTGGCAGAGGAGCCGGGTGGCCTAGGGCATTGTGGGAGTTGTAGTTCGGGGCCTTCTCAAGTGGTTGGGTTGGGGGTGGGGTCCCACCTCTAGCCCCAAGCTGGAACCCCCCCTCAACCCGCCATCACCTCACTCCCAGGCTTGGATGGATTCCAGTGAGGACTGAGGGAAGGAGGAGTAATAGTGGAGCGTGGAGCTCTCAGAATTTAAAATACGCTCCCACAACAGCCTTCTTTCCCCCTATTTGGGGAAGAGGATGAGCCCCCAGCTGCAGGCTGGGAGAAGATTCTTGCCCCGTGCTGGAACCTCCTAGTTAAGGGGGTTGAGGCCTGTCTCTTTAGGGACGCTGGGAGCACACACACGTCCTCTGTCCCCAGCCCAAACCCCCAGAAGGAAACTCCGCAAGCCTTGAGTCTCCCCCAAAGCTAGAGACAGCCTCCTCTGCTATGTGCCCCTTAGAAATAGTATTCCTCCCCTCTGCTCCCAATTTTCCCAGAGGCCCTGTCCTTCCCCGGGTCCCTGCACACACCTGCAAACACTCATGCGTGTGCACACACATGTTGCCCAAACGGACCCCCTCCCCACCCAGCCCCCAGCCTTCCTCCCACAGGCCCTGCTGACAGAGACACAGTCTCCGCGGCTCCCCAGGCCCCATCTCGGCTGCGGGAAGACGCCACACAGGTGATGGAGCCGGAGCTCTGCAGACAGACCCTTGGGCAGGCCAGGGTTGGGGTGGGGGAGGCCGCTGGACTGCCGGATGGCCGGACAGACTCACCAGGGTGGGCCGGGGACGCCAGGCAGCTGGAGGCGGAGACGGCCGCGAGGAAGATGAGGGCGCCGGGGGCAGGCATCTTGTCGAGGATGGAAGGGAGGTGGAGGTGGTGGCGGCTGGGGAGGAGGGGGGGGCGGGCCCTCAGCCCCCAGCCATGGGGACCCGCGCGACCCTGGCCTCCCCCCGGCCCAGGAGAGGGGCAGGAGACTCAGGACAGGGGGAGGGAGGGGCTGCTTACTGGCTCAGGTACCCCCCTCCCCCTCTTTGAAGGGACAGACAGATGAAGGGATGGAGAGGCGGACAGAGGAGAGGAGCTGGGGAGCCGGGGTTGCTGGGGTGGGGGGGAGAGGGTAGGAGTTTGGGGGGGGGAGAAGTGAGGGCCCCGCCCCCGAGGGCAGCCAGGATTGGGGGAGCAGAGAGCCTGTCAGAGGAAGGGTGGGAGGAGGGAGGATGGAGGGAGGATGGAGCGTCGTCATGGCAACTGGCTCCCCAGTAGCATTGGCTGCCAGGAGGGAGGGGAGGGGGAGGGACAGG